CTAGAATTTGATTCAGGCAAAAGAATGAAATTATGTTGAATGTACATAATGTAAAAATTTAGCTATGTAACTTGAAGGTAGGGATGGGAAGGGAAAATGGGGGGAAAGGATAGCAGGGATAATATTTATCAAAATTCTTTGTTCTCATAACCTGACATGGAATTGTAACCTCTTTGTATAACTACTTAAAAATTTAAAAAGAATTAAATCATACTTGTCTCTCACCATATACAAAAAACCCCAACCTCCCACAAACTGGATTAAAATAACCACATAAAGCTTAAGACCATAAACCCACTAGCAGGGGTCAAGTGTTGGAGGTTACAATTCAACTTACACAGTTAAATTTTTACATTATGTACATTCAAAATAATTTCATTCATCTAAGATATATGCTTTTTCCAAAAAAAAAAAAGACAGGGAGAAATGCTCAAAAGCATCAGTCAAATGCATATCTATACCCCAACGAGAAAAGAAAATCACCTCACTCAAATAGAAATGACTATTATGGGGGGAGGGGGGAAATGGAAGAAAGGAAAGAACAGAAAAGGAAAAAAAGTGCTGCCTACAATGTAGTGAAAAGGAAATTCTTGCATTGTTGGTGGTAATGTATTGTCATTGTGGAAAACCGAATGTAAGTTCCTCAAAATACTAAAAATAAAACTACTACTATATGATCTAGCAATCCCAACATTTTGTATATCCAAAGGAAAGGAAATCAAAGAGACCATCTATACCCTCACACTCACTGTAGCAAATATTTATTACAGCCGAGAAGTAGAAACAACCCAAGTGTTCTCAACTAATGAATAAAGAAAATGAGGTGTTGAGGATTTAGCTCAGTAGGGTTGGGGATTTAGCTCAGTGGAAGAGCACTTGCCTGGCAAGTGCAAAGCCCTGAGGTTGGTCCTCAGCTCTAGAAAAAAAAAGGAAAATGAGGCATATCTGTGAATATATATGTTCATATATATTCATATATATATATATTATCCAGCCATACAAATGTAATTTGTAACAATCAGGATAAAACTAGAGGTCATTTTGTTGAGCAAAATAATCCAGGCATAGAAAGAAAATACTATGTGATCTCATTGATATGAAAAGTTTAAAAAAATTACTCTCATAGAAGCTGACAGTAGAATGTGGTTTTTGATGTATATATCATCATACGATATAAAGTTCTTTACAATATATCTTTATTTCCCAAAATTTCTAGATGAAATCTTAAGAATAGTAGTAAAGACCATGGAAACAAGCACAGTTGTCTTTATGTGCTTGGGTGATGTCCATTATTTTGCAACATGTTCAGTTGTTAATCACTAAGTAGTAAGGGTCACTTGACCATGTCTGTATTTGATGTTAGCTTTATTAGAAATAAAGTTAGAGCATGGTTTCTAACATAAAGGAGATGGAAATTTAGTTGAAGCATTGAGAAAAATGACATTGAGTATCATGTCAGTCATTACCAATTATTCAAAACAGACCACTCATTACCACAGGTTGCATAGAGTACTAGAGAAAGTGCTGGAGTAAACAAAACTAGTTTCAAAAATCAAAAAACAAAACATTTTCTCATCACTTCATAGTGAGAATTTATTCAGCAGCTTCACAATTGCTATATTTGACTTAACTCGTGTTTACATATATATGAACAACTACATACTCAGACTCTACACTTTGCTTTGGTCCAACTATTTTCAAGAGTGAGTTCTTATCTCTCTTTAAGTAGCCGTCTTTCAGAAGTTTAGATTATTATTATACTTTGAAGAAATATTTTATCTTACATAAGCAGCACATTTTATTCTATTTTTGCCATTACTTAAAATCAAATCAACCAAGAAAAAATTATTTCCTCAAACTCATTACTTATTGCTAACTTGACATATTCAGTTTGATCATCTGGAGATTTCATACACATATATATATTCAAAACTACATAGATTATCTTATCACTTGCTCTTGGCATAATTAATAATAAATAATGACAGACATTTTATAATTTAGTTGGTAAACTATGAATTGAAGCAAATCTTCATATAGTAGATAGAAGTACAAATATCTGAAGTGTAGATTCTGAGAATAATGGCTATTTCCCAATGTTTTCCACTGAACAAAATATATGGTATAAATGGCATATATGCAAATATAATTATTTTAATTTTGCAAATCCACAATCTTAAATATAGTATGTATAGGATATATACTTTCTAAAAAATTTTTCTAATAAAATCTGTGAAAGCACAAGGACAGCAACATCTAAAGCTGAAAACTTTAGCCAAGAATTAATATAATGATTAATATGATCACTACAACAAGAAAACCACACAAGTTTCACTTGAGCTTCATGAAGCACAGTCATGTTTTGTGTAAAAGCATGAGATTATATAAAACACTATTACCAGATACTAATTAATTTTCTCTAATAAACATTACAAAAAGAACATTAGTAAACATATACTTTATATATAAAACATAAGATATTGATTTTCTTTTTCCAAAATGTAATAGCTCTACTTGATCACAGACATGTATAAAATCTGGAAATTAATAAATAGATTTCAACATATGAGAGAAAACACGCTACTGTGTCCTTCTAAGAAGCCAGGCCATCATAGTGTAAAAACCACAGTGAGGAGCCAGTACAGTAGTTAGTCAGCCCTGCATGTCCCAGGAAGACTTGCTAGCTCCTGTTACACTCATTTCAGGTAGCAGAGGACACAAAAACCCCACCATCTATCAGGTTGAACCAGTTTTTCTACTATTCCCACTCCCTAATTTCAGTGGAGGAGGACACACAAGCTGTGAGGACATGGTGATCACCACACATTCATGCTTACTCTTCAAGTAATTCAAATTTAGGTACTACAGTTTTCCAAGAAAAACGACCTTGTGCAGATCCATTTTAGGAAGCAGAGAAAGTGAAGATCTGAGCCACTCCTCTCTGATCAGCATGATAGGGAGGGATTATGGACACTTGCAGCTATCAAATTATCCTCTTCTCATCTGTTTTACTTAATCTCACTATGTGTCTCACGTCTGGAAATCTTCAATTCCATGCTTAGGTCTCTCCATCATCATTATAGTTTTCTTCCCTCTGCTTATTTGCTTATTTTCAAGTACATTTAACTTTTCTATCACAAATTGTCCTGGTGACCTCATTGTCCCCTTCATTGGACACCAGAATGCCCTATATATTCTCTTTTCCTTTCTTTACCACCTACTTCCTTTTTAGTATTTCCATACACTGGCTTCTCAAAATCCAGTGTGGGGCTGGGAAGGTGGCTCAGTGGTAGAGTGCTTGCCTTGCATGCATGAGGCCCTGGGTTTGATTCCTCAGCACCACATAAACAAAAAAAAGAAAAAAAAAAAGTCAAAATCCAGTGTGTTTCCTTATGTTATCAAGGATCTTTTACAAATACTTTTCCCAACCAATCTGTCTTTTCCTCTGTAGATTTCTTGACTCAGTCTTTTCTCTTGCTTTCTATTACTGACTCATAACATCTTTCCTTCTTTCCTTCCTTCTTTCCTTCTTCTCCTTTTCCCTTCATTTGCCCCTCCTACTATCCTTCCTCTTTCCCTCCCTTCCTTTTATCCTTCTGCTGACTTGCAAACTTTTTTCACTGTTCCACCATAACACTATGAATGTTATCTTGCACTTAATTCTTCCTTTTCCAGACTTTTACCTTTCTACATCATTCACCTGTGTCCCTCACTCTGAAATATCTAAGAATCTGCCACTAAGGCTGGCAGAACGGTGAAAAGGGCAGGCAAGTGGTGTCTTCCTACCACTTCAAACAAAATTTTCAGCTTTTATTCCTTATATTTGTTCTACCTCGTTTCCTTTGGAGAATTTATTTATATTCATTGCCATTCTAAAACTGGCATCAAAGTAATAAAACCTAGTTTCATTTCTTGTTTTACCACTATCCATCTGACTTCAGACAAATATTACAAAGCTTTAATGAATCTTCTATATCCAGGCCTTTGCATGCTCTCTGTCTGAACTACCTTCTTGCCCAATTCTTAGCACCTTCCTAACCCTTATTGTTGTTGTATTTTTTAATTCTATGTTACTTCCTACAGAAACCTATTCAAACCTCGAATCTCAGAACTGTGTACTCTAATGCAGCGCTATAGCATTCTCTTGCAAGCTCAGATCCAACACTCCTCTTATCAACCTCTAATAGTAAGGAATGCTTTAAAGGATTTGAGGTCATAGAGCTATTTATAGGAAAAGCCTTGGAAGTTGATGCAGAAGTCATACTTGTTTTTGTAAAGAATATATTCATGCACTTGCTATATAAAAATCAATGCAAAGGTGCAATCAAATAATCTTTAAATAAACATCAGTTGCAATAGCCACATATACTCTACAGATGCATCCTCAGAGAAATCTTCAACTGCTTGTGTTTATGAAAGAACAATAGATCCAATCCCATTATTAATTCTGAACAATAAAATAAACTTGCAACAACTAACATACTAATATTTATATCTTGTCACATATTCTAAAACAAAATCAAATTTAAATTCAGTGCTTTCATTCATGTTTTTATAATACTTTCAAGCATCAATTTGTACAATTTAGATTCAGTTTCTCTCACTGCTTTAAATCTACAATCTTATAGTTTCATTACTATGTTTCTTTGAATTTTAGTAAATTGAAAAGATCTTAAGAAAGACAAAAATAAAATGTATCATTTGCAAAAGCAAAACCAATACACATTAAAGTTGCCCTGATCCATTAGCTACTTATTTTAAGTAAAACTTGAAAAATAGAGATTTAGAAATATATTCTTGGCAGAGATTGTATAATGAGAATCAGATGCCTGACTGATTAGATGACTTTAAAAATCCTATTCAGTTTTGAAAATTCAGGATGTAGGTCATGAATCAATTTAAGGCACACTCTCTGCAGAGTACTTCTTCATATTTCTTTTAACAATAGCATTATTTGTATAAAGAAAAGCCCTGAAGCCAGGAGGGGAAGTTGTACTTACGAGTATTGGGTCAGCAGTTCTAAATCATTATGCATGTTGATTGGATATGCTTCACTGAGTTCAAACAACTTCTCCAAGGCCTCATAAATAAAAATGATGCAAATAAGTGAAGCAAAAGCTTCTTCAGTAAACCTGGTGATGTAGCAGACAAGGGAACTTGCATCTGTAGCCACAAGAATAATACATAGTGTTGCAGTCCAAAGTCCAATGCTGGCTCGTAAAGATAGGTATGACAGCCCATATTCTCTAGGAGGAAAAGGAAAGAGAGTAGAAAGAAGGTCATTTTACAGATCTGCCTTCATTTTAAATAAGTGAAGATAAGCCTAACTCAGGAAGTGTGTCAATATCATTCACATCCCATGAGTATCTAAAATCAAGACTGTGAATAGGATATCCTAAGTAGACAAAACTAAGGATTTCTCAGTGTTTAGAACTTCATCTTAATTTTAAAACAGATATTATATAACAATATACACCAATCTTTAGCTCTTTCTTCATCTTCATGAAGAAAAAAGAATGACAAAACTGAATCAAATCACCTACTTTTCCCTCTTCCAGGAGGGGAATAAACACAGAAAAGACAAAGAAACGGGCTAAAAGCCAAATGAATATAACACTTACTTGCAAAACTTAAACAAAATCTTTTCAAACACCAAAACTGGTCCTGTACTGCCTAATATGGTAAGAGGCTGTCCACCAAAGAGAGAATAGGCTATCCCAGTCATAGATGCTCCAAAGAGAGATTCAATTGCACTCTGCAGAAACATAAATTGTACTGTTACATAAGCTGGACAGACAACCATTGTAATAGGGGAGAACATGTTTAAAATAGACTAATATGCACTTTCTACTCCAATGGAAAATGTCTTAACAACACTTCTCAGGATGTAGGGAATTAACATGAGAAATGGGCCAATGGTGGACAGAAAATGAATGGGCAAATGAGAAGTTTCCTTAACACCTTCTGGTTGCACCTGACTCTGTTTTCTTAGAAAAAGTTTAGATATGTTCAAGATTAGTGTCTAAACAATAACATGTCTCAAATACAAGGAAATTTCTTCCTGTAAGGTAAGAAGAACCATAGTCTAAAACATGCCTAGAATCAGGGTGAGAGGGAGTAGATGATGGCAGAACTTGTACAAAGCTCAGGAATAAACTGTTTTGCGACATCCCATTTCCAGATTCCCAGTTTCATTAGCCATCCAGGAAACCCATATGAAATTTCTTTGTCAGACCATATATCAAATCTTCAAAACCCGAAGTCAAATGCTCACTTATTTAACTATAAAAGTTGAAAGCAGATAAAGCTTCAAAGTACAGAGAAAAGTATAATACATACTATACGACCTTCCGTTGCTTCTCCCAGCAGTCCTCCAAAGGTGATGACGGGAGACATACACGCGCAGTAGAGAAACAGAAAAGATGCTAAGCACTGCAGGCTGAAAGCATCTCTGAAGTCACTCCAGAAGAATGGAGCTTTTCTTTTGATATCTAAAATAAGTCCCCCAAAAATCCTAAGACATGGGGGAGGGGGGAAACACAATAGTGAAACCCAAATATAAAAAAACACATAAACCAAAATGCTCATTTGCTCTGTTGCCAGGTCACAGTCTAGGTTTTCCATCAGCAGAGGTGAAACCCACATTAACCTGCTACATTGCATCACAGTGAGCTACAGGGATGGATTTGTACCACTGTGTTCATGCCAACAACTAAAAACAAAACAAAACAAAACCTCAGGTTCTCTCAAGCAAGGTTCAGAGCCGTTCATCCACCAAATTTGAAATTTAAGGAAATTTGAAATTAAGGAGATTTAAGGAATCTTCTAATCTCTCTGCCATTTCTATATCAAGCTACGATCCTAAACTTACACCTACCATGCCCCTCAATCATTGCCAGTAGTTTCTAATTGTTTACATTCCATTTAGCATAGCAGGAAGTAAGGGAAGGGAGGGATTAATGTCTTTTGTAAATGTCAATAGTGAATATCACATCACCCTAGAGAGAAAAAGGCAGTGTTTAACCATGTCTCCAGTTGCCTACTCCCTCTCCCCAAAAAAATTTTTTTCCTCATCTAATATTGCTCCAGACATCTAAATGGACCTTATAAATAACAGCAATGCTTCATTAAGACTCCAGGCTCTTAATTTTTAGAAAGCTAGGAGATTGATCTTATAATAACCAAAGTATAATTTTGATCCACTATTGCCTAAATATATTCTAAGACCCATCCTTCACAAGATAATTATGACCTTCCTTGGAATAATCTATTTAGTCCAAATAAATTAAAAAATACATAGAAACATTTAGAAGAACTGTTGGGCCATTATTAAATTGTAGAATGATGTTAAAATTTGAAGATGAATTGTTGTAACCTATTAAAAATGAGAACATTAGTAAACAGGTATTCTAATTCTCTGACCACGTCATAATATTTAGACTTAATGATTGACTTGAAAATCCTTTCTATTTCATGAAATAAATGTTATATTAAAGTGAATAAGATTACAGTGATGTTTCTACATAAATGTTAATGGTGAAAATTTATATTATTAAATTAGATGTAGTGTCACAAAACCATAATCCAAGCTGAGACTTGCAAGTTAGAGGCTAGACTAGTTTCATATCATGAGTTCCAGGCTACATTGCAAATTCTGTCTCAAGAAAAAAAGTCACAAAACAAAAACTGAAAACCTACTATGCACCAAAGTTAAAGTTCTGGCTGTGTGCTGAATATTCTTTAGTTATACATACAAAAATGTTAAATCTTTATTATTTATATTATGAATAGGTGTAATCATTTGGAAGTCTTAGTCTCAATTAAAAAAAAAAACTGTTCTCTAGAGAACTAAATTCCAGCTGCTCTTGAAAGATGTATATATTCAGAGTAACAAAAAATTATTTTTAAAATTTCTCTTGTCCAACATAAACATACTAGCTAATATTAACAGAGATCTTTTAAGAATGTAGAATCCATTTTCCCTAGCCATTGCTTCCTCCGTGAAGGATTGAGAATGAAATTTGAATTGAAAAAAGAAGACATTTGAAACTCAGAGACACTTGCAGAGAACCTGTGAAAGTCATATATACACACAGCTCACCGTGGGTCCCTCTACTTGTGTTTGGCACATGTGAATTTTTACTGTTGAATGATTTTTGTTTCTGAATAAAATGTTACCTTGTCGAAGTCACAATTCAAAACCTATTTACTATATTAGCATATGTATTTATTTCTGATTATATCCCACCTGATCCCAAGAGGATTTTGAGGTGGTTATGAACTATTTATTAGTAATTAATATTCATAATTTTGATTAGACCACAGCTTTCTAATTAATTACCTATTAGAGCACACATTAATCTGAATAGCTGTTATATAACTGTGTAATAAATGTGCCTTTAGCAGTAAAAATCTAAATCCAGAAGTGGGAGATCATTACAGAGAACAGTGCAAGAGCAGCCCAGATGTACACCAGCAATTCCAGGAGAGCAGATGAGTAATGGATACTTCAAGTCATGTCAGCAACAGAATCTGTGGAAGAACTCTGGAGAAGCGAAGATACCGGATATTGGTGACCTGGGAGGATTTAGGAAGCAGTAAGGAAAAGTGAACTCGAAAAAAAAAAAACTAAGCTATGTGGCATGTTATACCTGAGAGAGAAAGAAAAAAAAACCAAAACCCACAAAAAAAATAAGGTAGACAAGTGAATGAAGAAAGGAAGGGGAGATGAGAATGCAGTCATGATATTCAATGCATTTCCTACAAAACTAAAATAAATTAAGGGAGAAGTTGAGATGAGAGGGATGGGAGAGAATGATGAAAGGGGTGACACTGATCAGGATGCATGGCACTTATAAACTGATTTGTCAACTGTACAGTAACTTAAAGATAATAAACTACAATTAATAAAATAAAGGACTGCATTTGAGAGTATGAAAACAAAACAGAATGATTAGCAAAGCTTCCAGTGAAAGGAAAAGGAAAAAATTCAATCATCTCAAATTAGGTATCAAACCTGAGGAAGATGTTAAAGGACAATTCCTCAGAGACAAACATAGATCAAGGGAGGAGGGGGAAAACCACAGGTGAATTAAAATGCAGGTGAATTAAAATGCAGAGTTGTCAGGAACTGGAAAGTCAGTTTAGAGGACACAAAGGCTGAAGTATAGGAAATGGCCTGAGGGTTTGGGGGAACCAATCCTGCAAAGCCTTGCAATTGCCTTTAATTATGATGGAAGCTGTACACACAAATTCCCTGAAGAGAGACCCACCCAAGGGTTTCTGATTTTCTGCTCACACATTGCTTGGAGAGAGACAAGCTGTCAAAAAAAACATAAAGAACCATTTTATGAAATAAATTGAAGCTTTCATCTCTTCAAAGATGTGTGATTAGAAAAATAGATTGTATAGTTCTTTCAAATCACAGGCATAATAATAAAAACTACCATTATATACATCCTACTTGCACTTAATGAGATAAAGTCCACAGTCCTGAGTTTCTTGGTATTTAGTTTTATTTCCATCCTGAACGTGAAGCTTTCAAAAGGCTCTTTTGGAAGAGTCTATTGACAATTTCCACATTCAGTCTGAAAGTCTATGAATACATCTTATGTACAGCAAAATGAAAGACTAGACTAGAGAAGATAAAAATGGACTGGTGTATCCACTGCTCTGGTTTAACAGTAATGACAATCAGTATTACTTCAGAGAGATCAAATTAATTGACATTTTCAATCTCAAAGAGTAGTGTTAAAAGTGTGGAATTAACTAGATCTCAAAATAGCTATTCGTGACAGACAATCATGAGATGTCATCTGGTCCTTGAAGTCCCACAGAAGTGATTTTCACTAACCTTCCAGTTCGCTCTAACTCAGGTCCACTATGGCCTCCGTGGGGTTCAGCTTCCCCATGAGCTGCTGTTCCATTGGGTACAGTAGGAATCTTTCTCTTCTCCTGCAGGAAGTTTCATTGTTTGTTGCTTTTTTTATTGTCAAGGTGATGTACAGAGGGGTTACAGTTACGTAAGTAAGGTAACAAGTACATTACTTGTCAAACTTGTTACCCCTTCCCTCATTTTTCTCCCACTTTCCTTTCCCCCAACCCCCTCCAAAATTGTAAAGGTCGTTTCCAACATATTGTCTTGTGAATATCGCTGTTGCATTGGTTCTTTCCTTGTCCTTCATCTCACCATTCTGTTGTTCCCCTTCCCTTCCCTAATTCAGATAAACAGATATACAATACCAGGGTACCAAAATCAAATATAGTGACAACAGGGGATATAGCATAGGGGGAAAAACATACAAAAGAAATAAGAAATCACATAGTACATTAAAAACAATAACAACAAAGAGAAGTGTCTAGTCTCCATGTCTTGGAGTTCATTTTGCTCAGCATTATCTTATTTGGTCATATGTATGTAGCTATTGAGCTATTCTGCTCATCTGCTAAGATTATACTAGATGTCTTTATTGCAAATAAAGGAAACCATGGGACCTATGTTTCTTTGGGTCTGGTATTAATTTTAAATAACAATAATTTGTTTTTTTCTCTTGAAGTAATCAATATGCAGAGTGGCTAAAAATCCAGATTTTATATTGTCTGTTTGACCTCTCGTGTGTTATGTAATGTAGTTTCCTGAAACTTCAGGAAGCTTTTTTTTGGCCCCTTTATTAGGGTAACAACAGTGCCAATTCTACAATGTAAGTAGCAAGGAAGAAAATTACCCACTATTTTTAAGCTATTTCCCCTCTATAATCCATCTCACATCTTCCTACCCAAGAAATAATTTATAAGTCTCGGTGACTCATAGACAGAAATACTATGGCAAAAGGAAGCTTCTAATTGAACCCATGGCAAATTAACTGAAGTTTATGTAACTGCTATTTTCTCTTAGAGTTATTCCACCCACTTTTGTCAGTGACAAGGATTTTTGAAAAAAAAATCCGAAAGCTACTACGTAATGCTACCTATGGTGATGTGAGAGTTCACTGTCTTTGAATGCATTTAAAAGGATAGTACAGAATTTTAAACAGATAGAACTTTGACAAGAGAGTGCACAGCATGAGAGAAACTATGTTAAGGGTAGTACAAGTGATTATAATTACTGACACAAAAGTCTAATAAATATTTATTTTCAGGATTATTCCTTGAGGTGACTGGTTATCCTTTTAACTAAAAGGAACAAGTCTTCAAAATTCTGTGATTTGTATATATTGATTTCCCACCTATAACTAATCAGAAACTCTACTAAGTTCAGGGTTGTCACTTCAGAACAATGTTTACACCAGACTGGAATTCACAGGACTAAAGTCTGAAAGAAAGTCTAAATAATCCTCTACTGTGAGGATTATTATAGAAGGCAGTTTAGTAGAAGCAGAGGTAGCAAACTGGTGGGATTGCTTTGCAAACATTTGGCTACCAATCTCAACAGTCATCTCTTCAATAAGAAAATGGATTCAAACGATAGCAACACTTTACTTTTATCTTTCAGGAATATCTCATGGATAAAATATTCAGTTACTTTTCATAGACAGAGTTTAAGATTTTTGTTTGTTTGTTTTTTGTTCTTTTTTTTTTTGTCAGTGATGGGGCTCAAACTAGAGGGCCTGGAAGCTGTCTCTGAGCTCTTTTTGCTTTACCACTTTAGGTCACAGCCCAACTACCAGTTTTTGGATAGCTAAATGAAGATAAGAGTCTCATAGACTCTCCTGCCTAGGCTGACTTCAAACCACAATCCTCAGATCTCAGCTTCCTGAGTATTACAGTCATGAGCCACCAGGGCTGGGATGCGTTTTACATTTTTATACTATGTATCCACATAAAAACACTGCAAATGTAATCATTGTAATATTAGTTCTTGCCAGTTTTCACAGTGATCAGTAACATGGAATTTTCTACATAATATAATTAAAACATGCCTTTAAGTTTTCTTGTCACAATGAGAATAGGCTTTATCTCGGTCCATATTCTACATGGCTATTATTTTTCTCCAGTGGGATTTCTTTTTTGGGGGGGAGGGCTAAAGTTTTCCCAGGTATATGAGATTTATTTTGTGGTTTAGGACCAAAATGCCAAACTTCTCAGGGAAATGTGTGTTCTAAACAAGAGTTTGTAAATTCAGGGTTCTCATTTCTTCTCTTCTCATTAATAACACAAGTCTTTTGAATCTTTCTAATGGGCTCTACTATTTCTACAATTTCAGGGATATGTATTTGAAGACAATAAAATAGAATTTTAAAGATTTTTTTTCTATTTTAAAGATTTTTTTTTCTATCCTGGTGCATTGTCTCTAAGCTTCTATATGCTCAAGGCTAGCACTCTACCACTTGAGCCATGTGCTACTTCCAGCTTTTTCTGAGTAATTTATTGGAGATGAGTCTCATGGACTTTCCTACCCAAGCCGTCTTGGAACCATGATCCTCAGGTCTTAGCCTCCTGAGTAGCTAGGATTACAGGTGTGAGCCACTGGTGCCTGACTAGATTGTTTTTTTTTTTTAAATATACATACCTGGGAAGGAACGTTCTTGGGAGGCTCTATTCGAATGCTGGGGTCCCACTCCCCAGGAGGGAGAACAGTGACCTGATCCAGAAACTCATCAATCCCTGACACCAAGTCATTACGATCTTTAGCTTTGTAAGCGACATCATGGAACACCTGTGACAGGAAGACAAATATTGTTTGTAGTTTTTTAAATATCTTAATGTCCTCAGTATTTCCCACGTTTCTCCCAGGTGATGTTAGTGTTTTGAATAGACAGCTCTCATTCTAAAGAAGTTTGTAATGTAAAAATCATAGTTTACTTTGTGTATCTGCACAGATTGTTTTGTTTGAATGCTAGAATGACTGTGGAAATTTCTGGAGGCAAGGAATCAGAAAAAGGGAAAGGAGAATGAAATGAAGCCCTTTACAAAATAATTAATTCTTAAAGCTACACAGAAGTTATTTATGCGCTGGACAGATAAAAACATTCTGGAGGAAGTCTTTGATTAAAGATAGAGATCAAATTATATTATAAATGGTTTATGGCATGAATCCAGGCATGCAAAAATGTTTTTAATGTACTTATAATGTACTATGTGATTTTTTTTGTTTCTTTTGTATGTTCTCCCCCCCTCCCCATGGTATAACCCCTGTTTTCACTGTATTTGATTCCGGTACCCTGAATCTTGTATATATACTTTTCTAATTTGGGGAGGGGAAGGGAAAAACAAAATGCTTAAATAGGGATACAGGGTGACCCATTTTAACAATGAGATGTACAAGACACTATGTTGAAAACAAACTTTACAACTTGTGGGGAGGAGTTGAAGAGGTGGGGAGGGAAGGGATTGTAGGGGAAAAACAAAGGAGGAGGTAACAATGTTTAACAGGAAATGTACTCCTTACCTTACTCATGTAAATGTAACCCCTCTGTACACTATTTTGAAAATTAAAAAAACACATATTTTTTTTTAAAAAGCTGGGGGCTGGGAAGGTGGCTCAGTGGTAGAGTTCTTGCCTCACATGCATGAGGCCCTGGGTTCAATTCCTCAGCACCACATAAGCAGAAAAGGCTGGAAGTGGCACTGTGGCTCAAGTGGTAGAGTGCTAGCCTTAAGCTGAAGAGCTCAGGGACAGTGCCCAGTCCTAGAGTTCAAGCCCCACAACTGACCAAAACAAAACAAAAACAAAAACAAAAAAACGAAAACAAGAAACTTTAAAAATAATTTAAGCTGGTTTTTAAACCAAGCATTGTGGAACACATTTGTAATCCTAGCTCTTGGGAAGTCTGAGGCCAGCTTAGCTTCAATAGTACTTAAAAAAATTAGTATTTGTTTCCATTTTGGAAATAGTGTTAAAATTAGTATTTCAGTTACTATGGGCATGTATTTATTTATTTTTTATTGTGAAAATACCAAATAGAGGGGTTACAATTACATGGGCAAGATAATGAGTACATTTCTTATCAAGCATTGTTGCCTCCTCCTTTGTTTCCCTTCTTATCCCTTCCCAACTCCCACCCTCCCCCCCCAACCACGGCCAAAGTTGTAAAGTTCATTTTTCGACATAACAACTTGTACATCTCATTGTTGCAATGGGTCCACCTGTATCCCTATTTAAACGATTTGTTTTTTCCCTTCCTCTCCACAAATTATACCAACATCAAATACAGTAAAAGCAGGGGGTTATACCATGGGGGAGGGACATACAAGGCATGTATTTATATAGTGAAGAAGGTATATTTCCATATGAAATGAGTTTTCAGCACACATGCCCTAGAGTAGACAAGTGGATCCCAAAAATTTAGTACATACACACAATGGAATTTTACTCATCCATTAGAAAGAATAAGATGTTTTCAAGGAAATGGATGGACCCAAAACAAATCAAGTTAAATGAAGCAAGCCACGCTCAAAGGCACAAACAGCATGTGTATTCTCTCATATGTAAAAGCTAGATCAAAATACAACTGGACATGATAGCCTACACACAACGCCAGGCATCCACATACAAACAGACCAAAGGAAGCTACTAGCAGGGGAGTAGGCAAAAGACATAACTCTCCCGAACTTGTGAAATACTATTTATCAAAAAAAATTCTAGGAAACAGAAACATGGATTATTTATGCCTGTGGTGGTGGTAATGGCAGTAGTAGGATGTGTGTGTGTGTGTGTGTGTGTGTGTGTGTGTATGTGTGTGTTGTTGCTTTTTTTCTTTTTGTGCTTGTTGGGGGGGGAGTACATAGGAGGGCATAGAAAGGAATGGAGGAAGAGTGAACAAATGCAATCATGTATTCAGTGTATATAATATGGAAAATGAACTATGCAAATTGTGGGCAAGGACAGGAGGGAGAAAGTGGAAGAAAGTGAAGGAAGGGGTGACATTGTCCAAAAGAGAAATTATGCATTACCTGAATTGTGAAATGATAATCCTTCTTTACAACACCTTAATAATAACAATAAAATTATATTTTAAAAAATTAAGATTTTTTTAACCTAAACACACACTTACACACAAGTTATTTAAGCTGTTCAGATATTCTAGGTCCTCTCAGAGACCCATGGAAATGTACATTTTTGTCTTCTTTACCATTTGGATGAGGTTCAGGGTCAATGTTCAATGTACAGGATATGAACATTGTGTATGGTGATCATATTACCTTTGGTGAGCCTACTGACTAAAACCACAGGTCCAATCTAAGCCTCAATGAACCAAAGCAGCTAAGTGACTAGAAGCACAGCCTCTTTTCTGCTAGCTTGTGATGGGGATTCATTTGCTCTTCTCTGTCCTGAAATTTTTTGGTTATTCTTGCAGTATAACCTAACAGTTCCTGATGGACATGCATGAGAATGATAATCTCCACATAGTAAAGGAAAAACAAGAATAAACAAGTACAACTAATTTACACTAAAAGTAATGAGAATATTTCTGAAATGCTTTTGTGTTTACATAAGACAAATGTATGAGTTTGGAGCTTCGTATATTTTCCTTTATCCTGCTTTATACTAAAGTGACCAAATAGTCCCAAATGTCCAGGATTCTGCATTCAAATATTCTATTCTATTTTAGACCATTTGTTTCTGTTTCTGGTTTGACAGCCAGTCTAAACTGCTGACAAAGTGATAATGATCATTTTAAAAGACTGTTACTTGACTTACCATCTAGGAGCACTTTACAAAATATCATTGGTGTGATAACTATACACTTTGCTGAGGGTAATATGAAAATATAAAGATATTTAATAGTTTAAAATATAAATATACTTAATGGTTTAGAGATTGTCAGAGATAGTTCATTTTAAACATTAAAACCATGGATTTTCATTGTATAAACTACTGATTTTATGGCTAGAATATCCCCTTCTAAAGATCTTCACATGGTCTCAGAAACTTCCTAAACACTTTAGAATTGCAAATATTACTGGGTCTCATGGATCAATTTTATAATCATAGCTTCTAGAGATCATGGTTTGAGGCCAACCCAGGTCAAAGTTTCTGACACTTTATCTCACTCAAAAACTGGTTACAATGGCATGTGCCTGTCATTTCCAGTGACACAAGGAAGCACAAATAGGAGGATCATTGTCCATGCCAATGCAGGCATAAAATGAGATCCTACCACAAAAATAAACAACACAAACAGAGTCTAGAGCTGTGGCTCAACTGGTAGAGTGCCTAATACATGGCTTCGAGTTTAATCCCCATCACTACCCCTTCCCCCCAAAAAACAAGAAAGAAAAGAAAAACATTTTCAAATTCCCTTAATCCTGAAGGACTCTTTTTTCTTTTTCTGCTAGTAGTAACTCTCTTGCAATCTTCCTTAATATTATCTCATTTAACCAAAAAATAATTTCAAGAGATTACATGATCCTATTCCCTAATTTAAATAGATGGATGTCCAGATTTAACAAAGCAGATTCCCTATTTTTAATGTTCTGCAAAGAGATATTATTGTTTGATTTTTATATTATAAGGAATACTTACTGTTGTTTTCCTATCATCAATTTCCTCAATAATTTACATTATAGGGCTCTTCACTCTTCTCTGTCTAATTTACATAACATTCTGATTCTAATATCTGACTTTTCAGAAAAGCTTTCCCTGATTTTCTCTCAAACAAAAGGAATATTTTATTATTCACCTGTCATGATAGAACAAAATAGACACATGTTCTTGATAGCTTTCACTAAACTTATAATTATTTAGTATAGTTATTATGTATTTCATTGCTTAATGTCTATTTTCCTATTGAAGCAAGTTATCAAACTGTTTAGGTACTAAGGATACAGCAGTAAACAAAATAAAAATAAAAAATTCTGCCTTTATTGGACCTACATTTTGATGAGATGGGAAGGAAGTAAACAAAACAATATGAGCAAGATGATGGAATGCTCTATGGAGGAAAAAATACAGAAAAGGGGATAAACTACAAAATGCTTCAATTTTTACTATGAAAATAGTGTTCAGATGGGTTGCAGTTACATGAGCAAGGTAATGAGTACATTTCTTATCAAGCATTGTTACCTCCTCCTTTGTTTTTCCCCTACCATCCCTTCCCTCCCACCTCCAAAACTATAGTCCCCCACCCTTCTAAATTCATTTTTCAACATAGTGTCTTTTACATCTCATTGTTACAATGGGTCGACCTGTATAAGAACCACATGGTTATCTCAAAAGATGCTGCAATTTTAAGAAGAAAGGATTCAAGGAGTGGATGTTTTATGGAAGCCACATCGCTATCAGAAGCAAAAATTTCCCAGACCCAGAGAACTGTCAGTGCAGTGCATACATGTCAAGTTTAAGAAGCAGTCAGGTCCATGGGATATGAAAGCAAGAAGGAGGGATCAGTAGATGATGACTGAGAGGTAAGGTGAAGAAAGAAAAGCCTTGTAAGACTTTTTTGAGTAGATAATCATTAGAATACTGACTCTATACCAAATAGGAAGCCATTGAATATCATGAACAGAAGAGAGACTCATCTGACTGCTAGGTTGAGAATTTTAAAAAATGAAGCAATGATTGAAATCACTACTAGAAAATTTTTGCAATAATAGGATAATAATGATGATAGCATTGACCAAGTGATAAAATGTATAAACACCAAACAATACAGAAAATTGAATGATAGTAATGAAGAAAATAAGAAATAGAATTCTGTCCATTGTATGGCTAGT